AAAAAAAAAAAAAAAAAAAAAAAAAAAAAAAAAAAAAAAGCCACAAAAAGGAATGCCAAGGGAGAATCAGAGCTCTTAGTAGAGCAGAATGACTTAAGAATTAACCAAAGGTTTAAATCACCTTCTCCAATAAGAAGCCTTTAGTTCTTCATTCTATCATAAAACAGGAAGGTATGGAAGGGCAGGTTGAATGATTTATTCTGGTCACCTTGTACACATAATCAGTCTCTGATTGAAATACATTGTCTTTACATTAAAGGAAATGCCACCTTAGCAAATGTGAGCAAAGCACAAATTCTACTCAAAGGTCAAGTCCCTTTCAAAGACCAAAATAAATTTCTCACATAACATCAAAGCCTTTTAATCAAACAAACCTATTTGAGATGCTTGGCTCAATTCACATCCAACTTCCAACTTATACAGTTTAGTACCAAGCTTATTCCTCCAGAAAATGCTCAGATTGTAAATCTTAAAAAAAAAAAAAAAAAAAAATCCTTCCTGCTTTTAAGCCATTGAAGCATTGCTTTCATCAATAAGGGGACTAAAGTTTGATGAACTGAACTGAATGATACCACAGTGAAAAACCCATGCCCCTCAACCCCATGCACACTCATACACACAGAAAAAACCTTTTACTTTTATGCATCTCAAGTAGTGGAATAATTGAACATCAGTTTGGCAATAAAAGCTGGACAGATTTAGAACCAAATCCAACTCTTGCCCAGGGGGATTATATCTGACGTAAATGGGACAGTTTGGCTTGGTTTGAAAAAGAATAGAATTAAACCCAAAATGTGACCTAAATTTAAATGCTTCTGAGCTTCAGAGAATTACCCACTTGTGTGCATCAACTTACAAAAATTCTACTATATTCTGGAATCTTTTGTGAACTTTATTTAAAAAAAGATTACTCTTTTAAAATGGGAGTCAAGATTAGGAATGGGGAAAAGCTGAAAGGTCTAGCCAAATAAATAGCAGTAAAATTATTCTATAAAATAGAACATGCTTCTTGGTTCGATGATCCTTGTGCAGTGAAACTCCATAAGGAATGATTATTGCTCATTTCATTGTTCAAACCTGGAATGTTGTAGGGGGGAGACGCAAGAATGAGTCTAATACGGTACCTGAAAGCATTTGAATCATATAATCTACAGGAGCCTCTACTTCCACATCTTTTAAATCCCCATTTGAGGCATGAAGTGTCAATCAAAATTCCAAAATACACAGGAGCTGGGATTCCTGCTGTGAGAAAAACACACAATTGCTACTAAAAATATATGTCCATCTCTTGATTACCCTATAACGAATGAGTCTCAGAAGCACTTACTTTCAAACTAAAAAGAAAAAAACTGCTTTGGGGGAAATGGGTGCCTGTAGAAGACCAGAATACACCACCTCATCATATTTCTCTGGCATAAAGGTTATTTTGAGCAACAGAAGGCACAGAAACCCCCAAGACAGAGCAGAAGTTTCCTTTTTGTAAGGGAAGCAACATTTATAACAGAGATCTCTATTTGTAAGGGTGTCTACATCTCTGTACCCAGAAGAGGAGGATTCCTAATCCCAAGAGGCTTTAATCAAAGGAGAAGGAACCCACCCAAATCTCCCTAACAAATCTAACCTTTGTTTACCTTACTTTTCCTGGTCACCTTCCCATTATTTAAGAATGGGTTTTACTTATTCTACATTATCACTTTTCTATTGGGCAGACAATACTCACTTCTAATGATATTAACATAATCTCTCACTTGCTTTATTTTAAAATACATAATAGTTTCAATATAATGACACCAATGTTAGTATTAAAGATAAGACTACAAAATGTAGTGAAGTTATGTGGCTTTGGTAATGATTCTGTCCTTTTAAACCTGTTTTTCTTTATGGTTATGCCTCTTACTTGATACACAACAAATTTCAGTTTGTTTGAAAAATGTCTTAGTTTCTTTTTGTTGTTATCAATTACAAAAAAACTTTGCATAATTTCATTTTTTTAAATGTCTTCTCCCAGTATTTTTTTAAAAGATTTTATTTATTTATTAGACACAGAGAGAGAGATCACAAGTAGGAAGAGAGGCAGGCAGAGAGAGAGGAGGAAGTAGGCTCCCCGCTGAGCAGAGAGCCTGATGCGGGGCTCGATCCCAGGACCCTAAGATCATGACCTGAGCCAAAGTCAGAGGCTTAACCCACTGAGCCACCCAGACACCCGGCATAATTTCATTTTTTAAAAAAATATTTACCTATGTATTTAAGAGAGATAGAGGAGACAGAGCATGCAGTGGGCCCGTGAGTGGTGGCAGGGGGTGTGCGGGAGCAGGTAGGGGCAGAGAGAGAGGAAGAGAATCTTCAGCAGACTCTCTACTGTGCACAGAGTCCCACATGGGGCTCCATCCCAGGCCCTGAGATCAAGATCTGAAAAAACTTTGCATGATTTCAAATTAAAAATTAAACCGGAGTTACATTTATAAACTCTACTTTCCAGTCTGTCCTTTCTTACTTTTTTCCTTCCTTCCCTTATAGGTAACCACCACTGCAACCACTACCATTACTATCATCATCATCATCATCATCATGTTTTTAGTTTATACTTCCGTTGTTTCTTTTTTAAATGTTAGCAAATACCTTTGCATATATTTATAATAATTCTACCTTTCCATACTTCTTACACCAAATGTATCATAGTATGAACATCGTTCTACATTTTACTTCACTTAAGGGTATAGCCTGGAGATCCCTTGGTAGTATAGACTGCTGTGTCCCTCTGAAATTCATATGCTGAAGCCCTAACCCTAATATGACTGCACTTGGACACAGAGTTATTAAGGAGATTATTAAGGTTAAGTGAAGTCCTAAGGGACTTAATTTGCTAGGACTGGTATCCTAATCAGAGGAGTAAAAGATACCAAAGCTCCCTCTCTCTCCATGTGTACACAGGCGAAATCCTTGTAAGGACACAGTGAGAGGGCAGCAGTCTACAAACCAGGAAAAAGGGTCTCAGGGATCTCGCCAGATACCAGGCCTGTTGGTACCTTGATCTTGGACTTCCCAGCCTTCAGAACTGTGAGACTATAAATTTTGTTGTTTAAGTCTTTCAGTCTGTGGTATTTTGTTATGGCAGCCAGAGATGACTAATGAATTTGTTAACATTACAGGGAGATTTTTTTTTCCCCATTCATCCTTACAGTTGCATAGGATTCCATTATGTGGGTTAACTATAGTTTATTCAAATATGTCATATTGATGGACAACTAGATTGTTTATTGTCTTGCTATTATACATAATGCCACAATAATTAGACATCCATAAAATTTTACTTATTTCATAGTTTTGCTAGCAAATTTTTGGTATCAACTTCTACAAGTGGGATTGCTAGATCAAAAGATAAATCTATACATAGTTTTTTTGTTTGCTACTGTCACATAATCATCAGGAAATGGCACCCATTTTTTCAACAGCAATATGTAAGCATATCTATTCTTCCATGCATTGGGAACAACATTTGGTAGTTTGCAAATCTGATAGCAAAAAACATTCTCTCAGTATAATTTTAATTTGTGCTCTCTTTATTATGAGTTTGACTATCTTTTCATATATTAAGAGGCATTTACATTTTTTTTTTTTTACATGAGATGGCTATTCATATCTTTTACCCATTTTTCCATATGGGTGTTGGTCTTTTTGTTCTCAATACTTAGGGTCTCTCTTTGTAATAGGGATATTATAAATAGTCTGTTACATAATTGGCAAAAAATAATTATTCCAAGTTTATCATTTGCATTTTGACTTATGATGTTTTTGCCATTTTCAAGTATATTTTTACTCTTATGGAATCAATTTTATGACATTTTTTAATACTTTTTTTTTTTCATTTTTAAAATAGGCTCCATGCCCAAGATGGGGCTTGAACTCACAACCTTGAGATAAAGAGTTATGTGTTCTACTGACAGAACCAGCCAGGTGCCCCAGTGAAACATTTCTTTTCCTTGAAATCTTTTTCATGGCGTAGGTTATATCTTTATCTCCAAAAGGAGTAGATATAGAAACCAATTCTAGTCAGAGATTTCCTTCAGGCTCAAAAATCTGATGTTTTTCTAGGTAAGCTCTGTTGTAGAATTAGATTCAGCCATAATGGGATAAACTTCCATATTTGCTGCTTCCCCAATTTCATTGGGATTATGCTGTATCTTCATATATACCCATTTTATATCGAGATTTATTTTCAGATTTTTTTAAAGATCTGAGTTTGTTTTTCTCTCTGCAGTTCTTTTCTGTTAAATTACAGAAGAACATGTGTGATTGATTTGCTTTCTCCCTTAGAATATAAACTTTGCACAAACAGAAAACTTACCTGATTCATTAACTCTATTTTCTATGGGTTTTAACTAATGCATACTGAAAAATCTATTAGTCATAAAAGAACCATTCCAATTACATTTAAAAATTGTCAGCTCAAAGCATACTGTTTTGATTGTATGAAAGAGCTGATCTTTCTATGAAATGATATATCCCAGCATTGAGACTAGGTCAAAAGAATTCTTTCCATTTTAACAACTGAAAAAATTATATTAAGGCTTCAGCCTTTCTTACTGATTCATTTCTTTCTTTCTTCCCAGAGGGCTCTTTCATAACAAGAATAAACTTTTTGACAATAGACCAATGCTGGAAGAGACAAGATTGTTAAACAAAAAAATGTCACTATTCTCACAACCTCACTTTATTATACCACAAGCAGAGCATTGGCTCTCAGTTTCTAAAACAAAGGAAGGGAGAAGTTGAGAGTCGGAAGGAAGGAATAAAGAAATAAGGGAAGAAATAAAATAAATAAGGACCTAACCGCCTATATTATTTAGTTATGCATGGCAATTCTGTAAAAAATACTTAGAAAAGTATTCAAAACACATTTGACATGGCTACCATAATTAAAACATACATTATACTTACCAAGAACTCTTATTGCTAAGGTGTAGATACCCAGGGCAAAAGACTTAAGTTGTGGCTTAATGCACCTAAAAACAACAAAAGCACTATAAAAAAAAATGTAGCCCATTAAAGCAAATAGTAATGTTAGTGATAATCTGCTTAACATAAATGAAATAATGTTAGAATTCAAGTAGCATTTATGGAGAACCCATAGTGTCCTAGCATAGGGTGGGCAAATTATGTAACTTCATGTGCTATTAGATACAATGCATCAGAGAGTTTACAGTTACTATTTCCAAAATGTAAATCCCCTCTCCATGATATATTCAAATGGTATTGGATAAGGTAAAATTGTCAGTTTAATCAGCAAAACAACAAAGACTTACAGACAAAAAATTCTAAGAAATTTGAGGCAACAAGGGATCAATAACCTATAACTAATTTTTGTGGCTCTTTCTCTAAAAGCACAGACTGTATTGATCCGAGTTGATACAATCACCATTGCTGTGGCATGCTAAGTGTTTCTGTTAAATAGTTGGGACCTGAATCTTGCAGCCAAGTATAAGAATACCTAAATAACAAGAGCATCCTTAATATGACTGTATAGCTTTAACTAATTGGCCTTTCAATTTTAATGATAATAATCATGATGATATTATAATAACTATTGAGTGTTAAGCATGGTACCAATTTCTTTGTATGTAATATCACTTAATCACTACTTTAAAGGAGGTAAAAATCACAACTTTTCTCCTTTAGTCCAGGGACATCTCCTTCTGCCATCAAAACACAGCGTGGTTCATCTGAAGGGCTGGTGATGAAGATAACTCTTCCTTAGGAGCCTGATTAAGCACTTGACCCAGTTTAAGTTCTAGAAGAAACAGCCACCCATGAAGAACAATTCTGGTTTGAGACCTCTGGTGCAATACTCTCCATATCATGCTCCCATTTGAAAACACAGTATCGCATGTTTTCCTTAAGCCCTTTTGCGAAAAACGTACTTGTGGATGTTAGGTCCTATTTTCTGTTTATCTTTCCTGATCAATTTCCTTAATATACTGTGGGAAATCATAGATATGTACTTTTGATGAGTTTCATTGTAGAATAATGTTATATTCATCCTTCAATATGTACATTAAGTTAAAAATCAACTAATCATCTCATAAAATATGGGTTTCTGATAAAATTTGACTTTTTATGCTTAATAACTTTACCAAAATTTGTAATATTTTTAGATTATTTTATCAATTGTATAATAGTAATATTTGCACGGCTAGTTCCATTAGGAAGACAATTTTTTAAAAAAATTTTATTTACTATTTATTTGATGGAGAGAGAGAGAGAGACCATAAGCAGACAGAGAGGCAGGCAGAGGGAGAGGTGGAAGAAGGCTCCCCCTCTCTCCCAAGCAGAGAACCCGATGTGGGGCTTGATCCCAGGACCCTGAGATCATGATCCGAGCCGAAGGCAGAGGCTCAACCCACTGAGCCACCCAGGCACCCCTCATTAGGAAGAAAATTTTATCACTGACAAAATTTTATCACTGACAATTATCCAATACCATTTGAATATACTTATATATAGCTATATATAGTTATAACTATATATATATAGTTATAAAACTACTATTTTAAAGTTTGAATTTATATACTTTTTTATAGATATCTATGATAGGAGAGTCAATAAGTAATGTTCAAACATAAATTATATTACAATAGAAGAGAATACCCCCCATACCCATATATATAGATAATTCTAGTCAGAACAAGAAAAATAACCTATATATTAAATAATAAATGTGAAACATTGTGATATTAGATGAATCTTTAAAATTATCTTAAAATTTTATCATCCATAATTTGGTGAAACCATGCTTAATCTAAAACACAACCTAGGGGCACCTGGCTAGCTCAGTTGGGAGAGCATGTGACACGTGATCTCTGGGTTGTAAGTTTGAGTCCCATGTTGGGTATAGAGATTACTTAAAATTAATATCTTAAAAAATAATAAAAAACACATTTAGTCTACACTGGATAATATTATCCAGAAATAGCATATTATTATTGATAATAATAATATGATAATTATTATATTATCTAGAAAGAGCATAGTGTATTTTTGAGTGGCTATAGTGATGTAGGTACTATAGTGGTATAGGCTCTCTAGACCAATGATTTGCAAAAAATTTTTAACTAGAAAAACTTCTTTTCAACCATATTTTTGCATAAAAACCCAAAATGGGAAGAGTCTAAAACTAGAACAAGGATATGGGTCAAGACCCCTGAGAGAGCAAAGCAATAAGGAATCACAATTCTATGGAACAGGATTTGAAATCAATATTCCAAACTATTGAAGTATATCTTTTATTAAAACTGGGTCAGGGAGAATCAGTGTTCACCTCAGAAGCAGTATGTATCCAGGTATGCCACCTAGAGATAAAGTATAGGACGTGATGACTGAAATGACAAGGAAATACAGAAACATTTTGGGACATCCATTATCTTTTTGACACCTGCCCACCATGCCTGAGGAATTTCCTGACTTTGAGGCTGCAATCCCCACACAGGTGCAGTTATAAAATATCTGTAATACAACAGAACAAAGTCCCAATTATTGAGGTAACATTTAAGTAAAATTGAAAATATATATATTTTTAAATAGACTTCACAATATAGTATGCATGCATTATATAAGCGATAAGGTAAATATTCTTTCATTTCTCTGTGTTAAGCTATAGTGAGCAAAGTGAAATCTATAGAGATCATGTTTTTTTCATCCAAACAGCAGCTGTTCAAACTACTGACCCTACCAAACCATCTCTCAGTAAATCCTGGTGCGTCCAAACATACTTCATCTCTTCTCTGCCATTTCCAAGTCTAAGCCACCATTATTCCTTGCCTTGGTTACTGTAGTGATCTCTTTATGCTCAACTTATTTCCGCTCTTATCCAGCTATCGTTTGTTACCCCACACAGTAACCAAAGTGAGCCTTTAAAAATGGCAGTCACTATTCTCGGCCTTCCAGTAGCTTCTTCTTACGGTTGTATAAAATCCAAAATCCTTACAGAGGCATACATACTCTAATGGAGCTCCTGGATTCCCCTCTGATCTCACAGCTCAGTGATCTTTCCTCTCTCCCTCTGCTTCAGCGGCACACACGGGTTTCCACTGCACCCTTGCCAAACTTTGAACATGGTGAGTTTACCCATGCCTCACAGCCTCGCTGTTCTCTCTGCTGGGTAGCTCTTCTAGATAGTAGGAAGGCTGGTGCACGTACCCCAGATCTCTGCTTAGTTCATTAAAGAGGGCTTCCATGACTACCCATTCAAAAAAATACCCCCATCTCTCCATCATTTATCCTAAGTCATCTTATCATTATTCATTAGAATACTATATATTCATTTGTTTTTAAACTATATATTCCACTAGAATGAAACCTCTAGCAGAAACTGTCTACTTTCTCATCATCACATATGTAAAGCCTAAAAAGGTTCCTCTTTTTTAGGCATTCAACAAAAAATCTGTTAAATAAATGGGCATAAATTGAGGATGTGACTTTTTAATGGTAACTGGGGGAAAAAATCCTGACTAATAAACCTCAACTAAATCTTGGAGAGGCAACTTTGATAATCCCTCATTATTTTTATAAATTTCACAAAAGAGTTTGTGAATTTTTAGTTAAACAGTGAAATAAAGCTGGCATTTCCTTTCCAAGGAAGAGTAGAAATGTAGTTGGTTGTTTTTTTAACTGTCAGGTAAAAACTTTTGAACCTTGACCTTGCCTCTTACTAGATACATGAGTTTAGGCACCTCAGTGCCTCAGTTCTCACATGAGAAAAATAAGATAAGTAATACCTAATTACTTGAAGATCATGATATTTAAATCCCATTTTTTTTAAAGCACCTCTCTTAGTTCCTGGCATGAATGCTTTCAATAAGTGGAAGTTCTAGGTAAGGAAAACTTTCAAGCAGTTTGGAGAAAAGAGTAGAGGCTGGAGAAAAGAAAGGAGCAGAAGGAAGGGAAAGGAAGAGGAAAGGAAGGGAAAGAGAAGGGGAGGGGAGGAGGAAGGAAAGGGAAGGGAAGGGAAAGGGAGGGAAGGGGAAAAGAAAGAAAGAGGGAGAAAGGGAGAAAGGAAAAGAAAAGAAAGAATAAGAAGAGGAAAGAAAAGAAATGAAAAGAGAAGATAAGAAAAAAAGGAAGGAAGGAAGGAAGGATGGAAGGGAGAAAAGAGGCAGGGAGGGAGGGAGGAAAGGAAAGGGAGAGAGGAAAGGAAGGAGGGAAGAGGGAAATGGGGAGGAGGAGAGGAGAGGGAAAGGGGAATGAAGGGCAAAACTCAGTTTCATTTGGGTAGGTAGTCCCGTTCATGGTTGCTGGAGGCTAACTCTTCCTACTCTGAATAAAAAGTCAAAGTAACAATAAACAGAGAAAACTAACATGTTACTCTACATCAACATAAGTCTTTGCCTAAGCATTCTTATCTAGTTGATAAGTATATGTAAATAGATGTGTGGGTTAATTTTCAGCCCCCTAGGACTGTCAAATGCAGGCAGATTTCATCACCACAAATAGACAGCAGTCTGACTGCTAGCCATATAAACGGAGAGTACAAGAGAGAGTCTATGTATGCGACAGAAATGTAAAGGTGTGACTACAGAAATGAGTCTTTTAATGATTAAAGTACATAATATCCTTCACAACTGATTTCTTACCTTTATTTCCAACCTCATCTCCATAATCCACCCTACAGAGCTCCTTCATTCCAGCATCTACTCTTTTCACACATGGGCTTGATTTCCCAGGCAGAATGTCTGGTGCTATCAGTCTCCTCAAAATCAAGTTTGTGATCCCTGGGTTTAGACCTCTCAGGCTAGACTTTCTAACACTGGCCTCTATTTGTCCTGTCCCTAAAACCACCAACTACCACTGGCCTTGGGGCCAGAAGAATTGGATCCCAATGCAGATCTTATCACTAAGATTTTCTCAGTTGAGGCTAATACTCCTCACAAGCAAAATGAGAGAACTACATCACGTGAGGCTCTTCTAGCATGTTTCATGATTCTAATTCTTACCCTAGTTCTTTCAACAAGTCTAGTCCACTAGCTCTCCACGTAAAAAAAAACAAGGGTAGAGCAAGATCCAGAGCGGCGACCAGTGTGGTCTGCTTCTGGGTTGGTCCCTGAGCTCCCACAGAGCTGTATGGTTTATGTAGAAGGCACCACAGACACACACATTAGGGATTTCTTACAAGAGTTTTTCCACTCCTGGTGGAGGTTTGACAACCAGCAAGACATGCCGATGCATATGTGATTCCATTTTCACCACACACAGGTTCCCATTTTGTCTCTGAACATTTGCATCTTGAGTTGCAATCTGAAAAGAGAGCTCGTTCATGATAAGAGACAGGTTTGGTTCTGAAAAGAAATGTAACAGTATAAAATATTACCTCTTAGCAGGCAGCACCCTAAAATCTTCAAAAATCAGTGTTCTTGAGTATATAAGGGGCACAGCCAATGGAGCTTGCCTTTTGAAAACACAATGGTCATCAGGAATGCTGGTTTCTGATTATTAAATGTGAGTCTACTATTAAAAAGCTTTCTCTTGAAAGTTATCTTTAGAGGTTTACACATTCACATAATATCCAGTTCCTGGTTTATGGTTTCTATTAAAATCGACGTTCTCTAGCATCTTCTAATGTATTTCTGTGCAAAGATGGAGGAAAACGGCTAACAAAGCAAAAAGATAGAGTAAACTTCTAGAGCAACTAATGACGTTTCTTAAATGCATTGCAGGCAGTGTGTGCATGCGCGTGTGTGCTTTTCTGTCAATTTCCTTCACAACTATCCCAGCATCAATAAAATGGGCACTGCTGATGGTGCAGTAAAAGAAAAAAACAGTCAAGCAGTCAGCATTATGTCAACAGACTTCAGTTTGGAAGAACTACACATCCTATGTGAGTGAGTGTCTTACTAAAAAAAGCATTGGCAGTTCATCTAACTTTTCTCTCTCTCATAATCTCCCACTCTACGTAGCTCTTCCATATCTCATGTCATTCTTTCTGATTCTCTTGCACATGCTTTTTCAATCACTTACCCATTCATTTGTTCATGTGTTCAAAATTTTGTGGAAGCCTTCTAAGTGCTAGCTTTGGGAGGAGAGGGGATAGTTACAAATACGAATGAGACAATATTTGCGCTTAAGGAGCTATCTTTTGGTTCTAACAGTTAACTTTACATAATTTTGATATCTTCTCTCTTTTCTCTCCCTGTCATTCTGTCTTACCTTCTCCCCTTACCTCTCCCAGAATTCCTCCTCTTTCACCTCTATTTCTTCTCCTCAACTGAATGACCTCATTTTTCTTCTTTTATTCTCCTTGTTCTGTTCATATTCCTGTATTCTTCTAGGGGATACTTATGCAATGATATTTCTCTTCTACTTGCAACTTATTTTTCATCCGTTAGCACTCCATCATTCTTTTTGTTTTTTTTTTTCCATTATTTTGAATTTATTTATTTGTTTATTCTCCTCCTCTCATTTTTTTTAAACAAAAGTGTTTGAGGGCCTTAAAACCAAAACAACAACAAAACCCCCAAGGGCACTGTCATATACACTCAGTGAGGGCAGAACGATTTCTTTTATTCACTCCTGTATCTCCAGCAGCAAGAACAATCTGGAACATACTAGGTTAAGAACAAGATTTCTGGTAAGTCAATCAAAGTAAAATGCTATTCTATTTTGGAGGAAAATAAATGTCATTTTGGCACCTCCTTCTAAGAGGTAAACCCCATAATGACTGCAATTATAATTTCTTAATTGATAGACTATTCCATCTAGTAGAACTGCCATGCATTTGGTTACTGCAAACATAAAAAACAAAAACAAAAACAAAACAACAACAACAACAACAAAACAGCCCCTGAGATGTCTCCAGACAGAATAAAAGGGTATAACTAGGCCTTCTGGGAAGTCATATAGGAATATTTCATCCTGTTCTCTTCCATAAGGCATTATTTGGTAAATTAACTGAAACTATTTGGTAGTATCTGAAAGTATAAATAAGTGCCTTTGAAAGCCTAGAATCAGGTCACTATGGGTAGTGTAGGACTGAGATCTCAGAAGGTTGTGCAGAAAGAATTTTGGGGGAGATCTAGGCCAACTTCTCATTTGGCAGATCAGGAAAGTCATGTCCAAAGTGGGCTAATTACTGGCTCAAATTCACAATGTTTATTAGAGACAAACTTCAAAATGAGAATTCTTCCAGGCCTTTGGATTCTAAATTCTTGTCTCACATCAAACTTACTCTCATTATTGCAGAAGAAAGGTTTCTCCCATTACCATATCTAAAGCTGTCTACAGCCTTGTGAAACAAAACAACTCAGGATAATCCCTGGGGAGCATGTTGTATTCTATAAAGCCAATTATTTTCTATTATGAAAAGTAAGTTAAATTTATCATCTATGACTATCTTGAAGCAGAAATTAATTGCATGCATGTTTTACAAAGGATGTGTTGACAGAATTATTTAAAATTTTAAGATAACTTTTATCAAATATATCAGAATATTTATACTCAAATGGGATTTGCTTTCAAAAGAATCATGTTGGGTGCAAGAGCTTTTTCCAGGGATGTTGCCATTTCTTTGGCTGCTTCCAATAGCAAAGCTACTCTTAAAGGTTAAATCTTTGCCATTGTTGGGAATATTCTGAAAAACATGGAAGGCAATTTTAGTATATGTGCTGTGGAAGCGAGCACTGGAAAGCAATTTCAAAAGAGGAGTTTGAGAATGTTTTAGACAATGATAGCATTATTGTAATGCAATTGTAGTCTTTTAAGGCAACTGCTTCAAGAGCTAGTACTTCTAGGGATAGTACTCGTGCAATGAATATGCTATCTTTTATTTGTTTAAAAATATCTAATCATTTATTGTGTGAGTATACTTTTAACGTGAACCTCAAAACTTTGCCACTGTTGCCTGTTTATGTGCTTACTTTTGGCTTAGAAATGCCATGGTGTTGCACAACGAGTATTATACTTTGAAGAGATAATTGACCTTTCTAAATTCAGTTTCTTTTAAATGAGGGTAACAAAACTTACCTCATAAAGATGCTTTGAGGATACAAGTGAGATAATGAAAGTCATGGTGTTTTGTAAATTGCAAAATACTAAGAAGTTTACCTCTGTCCATCTACCATCAGGATCAGAGGGACAGTTAAAGATAGCGTAGGGCTTCTACTCTCTCCATAATCTTCTTGCAATTCCTGTTTACAGCTAACGTCTTTATTCTGTATTGCTGACTGTTAGCAAGGCAATCTACTACACTCAGTTAAGTCTAACATCACTCTGGTAACTCCCAGAAGCAACAGTATATAAACTTCACAGTCACTAGTTTTCTTGGACTTTTTAGATGGTGAAAAGTATAACTGATATTCACTTAAGAGCAGGAGAAACCAGATTAATGAGGGTGATGGAGATTGGACTATGGAGACAAGACAGACAGGTAAGCATGGAAGGAAGCACAAGAAGAAGCCTGGAGAGCAAGCAGTAAATAAGCAGCAGCTGAACTAACAGAAGACAGATCATTAGATCAGGAGCACTGGCCTTTGAGGCACAGGCAGAGTTTGGGCAGTGAGGTAATGCAGTCAGGGTGGTAGGCCTGGCATACAGTAGTGGCTCAATGTTTAATTTAAACAGATAATGTATAGTTGGGTGGAAGAATGAAGACAGCTGTGTCTGGGAACTCATGTTCAGAGGTAGAGTGATGGCAAGGACTCTTCAAAGGAAAAGACAGGGTAGTTCCTTCAAGATGCAGCTTCGTATTAAGATTGACAGACCCTGGAAACTAAGAAAAGTAGTCATCCCTCCCATACGAGATGGCACAGGTCTGAAAACATCAATAAATACTCTCTTGACCAACTGCTAAGAGCTAAACAGAGCTGTTGTGTGGTTCACCAGGATGAGAAATAGCATTCTCTTCTGAAACTTCACATGATTTGAGTACAACAGAGACTACAAAAAGTAGCACAGAGACCTTTTCAGTTATCCAAGTGTTCAAAGAAAAAAAATACAATTATTTACAAATGGCACATCTCTTTTGTGCCAGGCAAGTACTAATCATTTCCACGTATATTATCTTGCTTAAATCTTATAAAATTTTATAAGGTAGTTAGTATTCTTTTTTTTTAAATGGAAAAATTTGGGGTGCCTGGGTGGCTCAGTCAGTTAAAGCCTCTGTCTTCAGCTCAGGTCATGATCCCAGAGTTCTGGGATGGAGCCTTGCATTGGGCTCTTTGCTCAGCAGGGAGCCTGCTTCCCTTCCTCTCTCTCTGCCTGCCTCTCTGCCTACTTGTGGCTCTCTCTCTCTGTCAGATAAATAAATGAAATCTTTTAAAAAAATTTAAAAACTCTAATCGAAAATTTGAGGTTTGATTAGATTAAATGACCTATGCAATGTCACTTCACTAATGATGAACAGAGGTGAGATTCAAGGTCTGTGTTTTCCATTGTCAGGTTGCCCTATACAGGAAGATGTAGATTTAATATTTTTAATAATTTCTCGTAGGCAACCAAATTCAAAGGAGATGACAAATTTTGGTGACAATAACAGTTCCCATGTCAACGTACCGTCAGCTATTCCATGATAAAACTATAATTCCTTTCTCATATTTATGATGTTTACAATAAAATTATCTTATTTTGAAGCTCTATCTATAATTAATTTGATTAAACAAGCCAATCTCCTCAGATTACTTAATAAGTGAACCTACCCTTGGTAGGAGACAGTTATTCCTGCCACATCAGAATTTTCACAGCCCAGTGCAAACAGGGAAAGGAATAGGAGGTACCCAAGAACAGACGATCCCAAGTAGAGTTTTGCAGCTCCATACACATTGATTCTGAACTTTTTCATAACTATCCCCCCAGAGAATATTCCAAGGGCCACTGCAGGTATGTTGATGAGTCCTGAAGAACAAACAAACAAACAAAATATATATATATATATAATTTTGTGAATCTCTAAAAGAAATTTGAGTGTGCCAACATAAACTTTCTGAGAGATTATACAAAGCTATATAATAATTCCTGACAATTTATTAGACTGGTTGGTCAGTTTAAGTTATAGAAATATTCATTTACTATTATTCACTGACATATCAAGAGATTTTGTGAGTGTCCAGGTTATAGATTAAGGATAGCACAACTGAGAGTCTCAGAAGCCTGCCTAACACAATATCCAGCACAGAGTTTAAAATCAATAAACACTGAATTAATCAATGAGTCAATGTCTTTCTGGTATAATCCCAGGATTAACAGGTACAATCAAGGGGCAACTAGGTGAAAATTAACATTCTTTAAGTTTGTGCATAAGAGAATAATAGGTACATGGAATTCAGGGAACAAAAACACAGTTTTGGTTCTTTTTTTCTGGCCCAAACCAAATTTATTTTATTTAGACTCTTAGTTGTTTAGTTTGGTATCTACCCTAACAACCGCAACAACAAAACAATGTATTAGTTGACGACATTTATATTTACTATTTGCTTATAATGTACTAGCCAATTGGGTAAGCATTTGATGTGTCTCTCACATTTATTCTTTACCACAACCCTAGTAGATAGCCGTATTGTTATTTTCACTTCTGACAGTAATTTATTCATGGTCATGGTTAGTAAGTGTTAAAACCAGATTCGACAATACAGAGTCTGATGTCAAATCTCTTGTTTTTAGTCACTACATTATACCATCTCTCCTCCAGACAGTTTGGGACTCAGGATTCTTGATAAACAGATGTGCAATCTCACTAGTAATAAAATAAATGTGATTTTAAAACAGCACTAAGAAGAGATCCAACAAAGTGGTTGAGAGCTTGGACTCTGGGGACCTAACTGCCTTGTTTGGCTCTCAGCTCCATACCTTCATGGCTTTGCAATGGCAGGTGATTTCTCTGAACTTCTATAAACCTGTCACCTTACCTATATGGAGCAAAAACAGTACTGAGGTGTTAACATGGAAAGTTCCTAGCATAATATATGGCACATAAACATCATTCAATTAAGTTGTTACTTGCATTTCAATCTATTAGAGTCACAAAGATGAAAATATTGGGATGGGTGGGTGGAGTGGAATATTTCTGTCTTAGAAAAGGTGGGGAAAGAGGCTCTTTGGTGACTTCTTGTTTAGATTTTAAATTGGTAAATGTTAAAATTAAAATGATCACATTAGAGATCATCCCATCTTGAAGGAGGCACGATCACAAAACTGTTGGGAAAAAAAAAAAAAGAGAGATGCTAGTTTTTTCTTTCCCAGCTAAGCTGAGGTTTGTGGCTATAGCAAGTGGTAGAGATAAACGTATCCTGGGCCCCTTAAGAGCCAAAGGTCAACTAAGAGGAAACTGATTATTATTTATTTTTCCAAAGAGAGGATATAATGGAAAATAATATAACAAACTTGGTTTCTCATGACCCAAGTTAATAAATGGTAATATATTCTCCCAATTTTTCTGATTTTTAAATATGGAGATATATAAAACAGATTCCTTCTCTGTTCCAGATTCCATCTTCTTTCTCAAGAATTAAGCATTGCCATGGAGTTGATGTGTGCCATTTAAGACCCTATTTTTACATACACATATTCACAGTACTTGACTTCGAATCCCCCTCTCACAGACCCAAGACTTATACAAAAAGGGCAGAGTCCTATTCTCTCTTTCAATTCTATCTCCCAAAAGCAATTTATAAAAAACACATCTTCTGAAAACTAGCCTCTATATCGAAACCTTGAGAGAGTGTGCTTAGAATTTCATTTATTTTGTAAAATATCAATCCAAACTTGGGACATAAGGAGTCATAGCACAAAGGATCACTAAGGATACCCTTTGATACTTTTTGTAGGTTCATGCTGTATGGGTTTCCCTAACTTTTCCCCACCCTGATCTGGCCTAGAAAACCCTGAGAATCAAAATGGGGTGATTCTAAGGGCATTGCTCCCTCAGTACAGAATGTTAAAAATCAGGAATATCCTCTCCTGACTGATGTCCTCTTAGAGCCTGTGTTCTCCTAAAACTTCCAGAAAGTTTCATGTACTCTCTTGCCTCCAGTCCTTTCTAGGCAAGATATTTGCTTCATCTGATCAACATCCTATCAGTACACCACCCTAGTGTCCACATTTTCATGTTTTAACACCCCCTTATTCTTTTGCTTTTAATTTAGGTATTGATACCTCTTCCTAGAGGATTTTCTTCTGACTCCAAGATAAGGTTTGTTCTCCCAGAGTTCTCTAGACTACTCCTAGAGACTTCTCACAGCCTCCACCAGCCATATGGTGCCTCCAGAGACATCTCTGATATCAGGGTGCACAAGGTGGGTCATCAGAAGCCCCTTTCCTCCCTCTGCCTCTGGCCCTTGTACAGGGTCCCATAGGCATCAGTCTTGGTCCTTGTCACAATTACTGGCTAGCTTATCTGGTTTGCACCCCTCACCTTCCCATAGCACCTTCAAGGCAAAAACTGCGCTCACCATCATATCCTGAGCTCCTTGTAGTTTTCCATAAGGGTATCATGCTTAGCGAAATAAGTCAATCGGAGAAAGACAACTATCATATGATCTCCCTGATATGAGGGAGAGGAGATGCAACATGGGGGGTTAATGTGGTAGGAGAAGAGTAAATGAAACAAGTTGGGATTGGGAGGGAGACAAACCATAAGTGACTCTTAATCTCACAAAACAAACTGAGGGTTGCTGGGCAGAGGGGGGTTGGGGGGGGTTATGGACATTGGGTAGGGTATGTGCTATGGTGAGTGCTGTGAAGTTTGTAAACGTGGAGATTCACAGACCTGTACCCCTGGGGGAAAAAATATATATATGTTTATAAAAAATAAAATTATAAAAAGAAAAAAAAAAAGAAAATCACCATGAAATTATTTGCCCAGGTCACCATATGCACTGGATTTATTTAGAGTTTTATATTCATCACAAAACAAATTTTGACATTTTTATATGGATCTTTATGCACTAGAACTCAGAGATACTTTCCAATTTTACCTAATGTAAATGTGAATTTTAAGAATTAAAAAAAAACCCTTATAATCTTTAAAAAAAAAAAATGTGCCAAATGGCTAAACTTTAGTTTATCCACATACAACATTTCTCTTGGATATTTTACTTTCCTATTTCAAGACAAATGAGTTATAAAATGATTCTGTAAAAACAGTAGCAGTACATTTCAAATATACTGTCAACTTGATTCCCCCTTTCAAATTCTCTAGGATCTGTAAGCTGTCTATGCTGGGCCAAGTTAAGTTGATAGCAGATTTCCTAAACATCAAATGAGATGTGCTGCTTGCCTCCCAAAGCTTCTCCTCTTTCATCTAAAGTATTTTAAGTCAGCTAATGAAGTAGAAATTTCACTGATTTCTTCATCACACACTTCTTTTCACTCACACCATAAAATGTGCTGATCTTAAAATGTTTACCATTTAAATACTCCAAATGGAAATACCAGTTGTAATTTACACCAGCATCCACAATTTGTTTCAATTTAATTTATGTATATCTTTTGAATTTAATATATTTACTCAAGTAACAGGAAAGCTAAGAGAAATTTAAGAATGAATATGTTGTTGTTACTTCCATATACTCATTCAAGCTGAAGACCTTATTTTTTGTTACTGTTCAAAACAGGAGTTATTAAATATAAATATTTATATATATTAAATATAAATATTTTAAGATCGACAGCACAGTTACAATATAATTTGGGAACTCTGATTCCCATACAAATATACAATAGCCTTAGCCATTAAAATAAAATGGTAATAGGTTATAGTAATAATAGTAGTTTGGGATGTTTTAGAGCTTTTCTCCCAGCAAAGTAAAATTCTGTAATATATAATGGACCTTCACAATGTTACACTGTTAGAAGATTTAAATATATGGGACTTTTCACACTCATGTAGCCAATTTGGTATAGACAAAGAAGTAAAATTAGCAATCTTTCTTGGGTATAAGAGTATTTTTTTTTTCTCACAAATTAAGATTGTTTTCCATTATTTCTCAGATTTTTGATATAACCTGACCTAATTTTAGAACATATCATAACACACATTTAATTTGCTATGCTAGCTTAGCCACAAAAAATTAATGTTTTCTATTATAAGCAACTTTCCCAAAATAATTATCATAACTTTCCCTTATTTGTCTGTGTATCATCTCCAAGAATGGAGAATGGATCACTGCTGTCAATGAGAATCAATGTCAATGTATCATGTCCACTAGGTATTGTTTTATTTAATAAAAAAAACTCCAAGAAATTAAGAAAAATGGCTAAAAAGTTGCAATCTGTGTATTAAGAAGGAAAACAAAACTTAAGATCATTTTCATGTAACTTAACAGTGATAGGAGAAGCTTTGAAAAAAGGAGAAAAATTAAGCTCTCTATCTAAACTTCTTCCAGTGGAAACTGCAATGGGGGAAGAAAAACCCCACACACTTGAAAAAGCAAGATCATTTTGCCATATGCCTCCTAGTCCCTGAATTTGAAACATTTTTGTTGCTTATTTTTCATTAATTTTCTTGGCAAAATTATATTTAATAATAATTTTAATAATTAAAATATTTTAATAAGTAGTTAACATGAGAAAATATTAATCTAAACTTTAGAAATACGGCCAACATAGCAAAACAACACATACAGCAAAAATAAATCAACATTGTATCAACTGGCCCTTGAAAACTAGGAAAATTTCTGTTTATTCTTTCTGCCATGTCATGTCAAATGCCTTCTCTGAGAGCAGAGAGGAAACGTGCTTTCTTTGTGCTTCTCCCTTATTTCATCACAGAAAGGATCATCCTTTATAATTTCCCCCAGCACACCCCCCCTAAAAAATGAAGGAGGAAAGAGAGAGAAGAATGATAGAAGAAGAGAAAGAAGTGAGAGAACAGTATTTACTGAATGATAGCGATAGATATTTACAATGCATTTTCTAGGTCTTATTTAATCTCTATTTTAACCTAATGATGCATCTATTTTCGCCATTCTAAAGATAATCAAAATAAGTATTATGGATGTTGACTGATTTTCTCACTTACCCTTACTCTGCTTTTTTTCCATACTTAATGTGAAACCCAGATACATTCAGAGAAGAATCCTAGCTATAAAGATTGAAATCATTAGACACTATTACTTATCTCTCATAAAGTACTTGAATAATCCATAGAGATGACATGATGGAAACTATGAAGAATCAGAATCTTAGGTAAGCTTTAATAGATGAGTTAAAAAATTCTGATGATGAGCTTGGATCTCAGGGACCATATGAGTGTACAGAGGATTATGGTTGAAAGAAATCAACTGTCCACAACTTAAAAAACAATTATTAGATTCTTCTTGTCAGTTTTCCAAAAATGATTATGTCCAGAGAAGAAATATAACTCAGGGGAAATAATTTTATTCCTGGCTACATTATAATGTATGTATGCAATTAGATAGACCATTGAATCTCTCAGAATTTTAAATTCTTTCATCTGTGCTAATTTTTCTTAAGAATAATTTTATAGCAAAAGTATTTCATTATCTACCCAATAAAAAAATGAGATTACATACAATCTCATTTTCTATTATAAATATCTTTTCCCAAACAATGCTCTTAATTTTCCTTTATGAAATAAATGTTTTCAATTTGAAATAAAAAATGTATTTATCATTCTAGTGACACCAAAATCAAATGCCCTCAAACTGTGTTATGCACATGTTGAATAATAAGAAATGAACATACACTTAAAGATGTGTCACTTCATTGCAATTCATGGGGAAAAGATGGCTTTTTCATTTTGATAAAAGAACCTTGACCTTTTTCACATTATATTTAAAAAATTGAAATGTATTATAACCAGCAGCACCTGGGTAGCTCAATCAGTTAAGCATCTGCCTTCCACTGGGGTCATGAACCAAGGGTGTTGGGATCAAACCCCACATCCAGCTCCCTGCTCAGCAGGGAATCTGCTTCTCCCTCTCCCTCTGCCTGTCCCCCTGCTTGTGTTCTCTCTCTCACTCTCAAATAAATAAATAAATAAATAAAATCTTTGAAAACAATCCACTATCTGAAATGTATTATAACCCAAATGTGAAAGTTAAAACAATTAGGCTACTAGTAGAAATATTAGGAAAACATTTTCACGGCCTTCAGGTTTGAGAATTTCTTAAAACAGGCTTAAAATAGCAGTAATGAGAAGAAAAAGACTGGAAAATGGACTTGTTTAAAAATATGAAATGGGTTGCCAGGTGTAGGGGGTTAGGGAGAGGGTGGTTGGCTTATGGACATCAGGGAGAGCACGTGCTATGGCGAGTGATGTGAAGTGTGTAAACCTGGTGATTCACAGACCTGTAACCCTGGAGCTAATAATACATTATATGTTAATAAAAAATATGAACCTCACCACTAGGAGAGTAAAAAGAACTGAAGTCTGTGAGAAAATAGTTATAATACGTATATTCAGTAAAGAACTTGTATCAAGAAAAAGTACCTATCCATACAAATCAATAAGAGACAGCTCAAGAGAAACAGGCAAACAATTTGAACATAATCCACAAAAAGAGAATGTTGAAACGACTAACAAGCCTGCAAAAAAGTGCTCAACATCATCAGTTACCAGTTACATGTAAATAAATTATAATAAGATATCTCCACACCCCGTAAGAATGGTGACAATGAAAAACACTGACAATAGTGAGTACGCCAGGGATACGGAGAAACTGGAACGTTTTTATACTTCTAGTGTGAGTATAAATTTACACAACCCTACTGTAAATGTTTTGGTTATATTTAATGGGTCTAAACATATATACTTTCCATGACCAGCAATTCTGCTCCAAGTTACAGCCAAGAAAAACATTGTGTATACACCCACTAAAATACATATAGAATGATCAGGCAGTGTTATTGATACTAGTGAACACCAGAAAACAACCCAAATACCCACCAACAATAAAATGAACAAACTGTGGTATATTCATGTGATAGGATATGACACAGCAATGAAAAAGATCAAACTGTTATACACAACATGAATGAGTCTCATAGATTTCACTTTGAAATAAGCTAGACATAAAAGACTACACAGCATACGATCCCATTTGTATAAGTTCAAAAACCATCTATGATGACAGGGCTTAGGGTAATTATTAGCTCTGGGAAAGCATATGGAGTAGGACGAGGTTTAAGAGAGCCCTCTGTGATTCTGAAATGAGCTCCACGTTCTAGCTGACAGTCACTACACAGGTTTTGGTGTAAACATTTATCCAGCCGAGCTACACATTTAGGGGCTGCAGACTTAACTAGTGCTTGTAAGTTATGGCTCAATAAACACAAAGGAGATTTTGAAATAAAATTTTAAAAATGTCTCCTAAGCTTTTATTTCTCTTCTATTCTTGTTAAAGTCAGTATAAAGTACCAACTGGCACAGATGGGATTTTGGGGGGAATAAAACCTAAAATGTTTTTTCAGCTCCACCATTAAATCACACAATTAACTTAATTTGAACCAATCAATGTTGAAAGCAAAAGTTGAGTGGTATAGCTTTAATATTTATAATTTAGAAGAGTAGTCTGAATACTAGTCTGAATAGTCAATTCAATTAACATCTGTTAAGTGCCCATTACCCGGGATTATTACAGGATAATTACATATTCTGAAATAAGCTCAGAGGCCTCTTTCAGAGATAGATACATAGAAAATTTTAAAAACATTTTAGGAAGAAGAAATGTTTTTAAATCATTGGAGTTTCCTACTACTAAGGAATTTGTCCAAAGGAATAAAATATATTTATGCCTTGAAACAGAACCATTAAATGATGTCCTCATGAACTAAGGGAGCTAACCCAGGTTTTAAAAGTATCCAATTACTAGGAGCATGATGTTCATGTATTTGCACATTCTGGTTCTTCTTCCTTCATTTCTTCATGCTTTTTTTTGCCCTTCAATAGCTTTTTCATCGTTGACTGACCTGCTCTGCTGGAAACACAGCCCTTAAAAATAACCTGAATGCCAGGACTCAGAAAAGTCCTTTAACTCTGAGCAAAAACAAACTTTGTTTTGCAACGAGCACCTTTTAACCTCTCTGAATACTCACTTTTTTATAATCCTAGAAACGGTTCAGGTTAAATGGCCACTGTTAGGAAGTTCTGGCTACACTTGAAAGACACATACCCAATATCACAATCTTCTAATAAAATGCACGTTCAGTTTATGTAATATTCTTAAGGTCGCTCACTTACAGTTGTGAATAATTCTTGCTGCAACGTTGTACCACCGACAACCTCAGTATTTTAACTGGATTTTTTTCACTCTGATAGATTTGTTTTCACTCACTTTTTGACCTCATATCTAAAATGCCATAAATCATTTTCAGTCTAAACAGGAGAAGAGCTTTCTCTAAAATACCTAAGGGTGAACAAGATGCAGCTGACAGTGCCTACTGGTGAGTGTGAAGGACAGATGAGCATACCGATAACAAAGTTGGCTTTGGAGGATGACTGCCCATACTGCTGCTCGATGTACTTGGGTTTATAGGTCACCATTCCAAACAAAGAATTGAACTGAACCGTGCTGGCACACAAATACAGCAGGTACAGTGGATTTCCTAAGAGATTCTTCAGTGACGGAAGAAAGTCTGTAAGACAAAAATAACGTGGGAGTAATTAAAGACCGTGTTGCACTCAGCAGAAGACACAATCTTGCCACCAGGGCACAGCTGGCTGGGTCCCACTGCCACAGTTAGAAGGAGCAGTTCTAGCACGGTGCATATAGACACTATGGATATGAAGCACTGGCATAAGCCAAGGCTGAGATCTGTCAGGTTCATCTCGAGACACAAGCACTCGCTTCTACAGGCATATAATTTAGATGACAGTTAGAGGTAGAAGTCAGACAGGAACACGTTCCTCCCAATGACATGGGTAGAAGGAAAGAGAAGCAAGAATACTCCCTCCCCACAGAGCTGAAAGTCATTGGTAGGACATCAAGAACTTCAGTTTTCTGGTATCTCCTCTTTAAACTTGCATCATGGTCACAAAGAAACATGGACATTATCTCCATTTAATTTAATGAACTTAATCTAAGAAATGAGCTTTAGCATTCTCCCTTCTTCCTATGATGTAGCTGAAAAGTTTGAAATGTGGAGATTTTCTGTAAATACTGTTTGCTGGGCCCAACTAAGGGGGACCCATCATTCTCATGCTCACTCTTTTTCCATGTGGAAGGAATTCAGGTGAACATGTCTGGCCGTGTGCCCCCCATCACACTCACTCCTTCGGTCAAGGGTGGGAAATGGGCACTGACACATTTGTCAAATGACTGAATCTCATCTGTCAAAAGGCCACAAGATCTGAAGATTCACCTTCTTCAGTCCACCCAGACTGATGGGAAGCAGCCATCCCAGAGAGGGGCCGTTGCTAGGTCTAACCTGAAGTAGGGTAAGGGTGGGAATGTCAGCAATGAAGGTTACCCAAACTTTGGGTCGTGTTCTTTAATCTACTCTCCAGTAATAAAGCTGACTTTGTAATCTTCAATTCTGTGTCCTGTATAGTTTCTGAATTCTTCTAAACAAACGATGGGGAGAGAAGGGTATTATATATAGATCCCCTACAGAGTCTTAACAGGAAAACTGAAAGTGCTTCAAAATCAAGGAGAGTCTGGTTCACCTCTTGCCATTTCCATTATTTTTGACTTCTCTCCAAGGGATGTTTGGTAGTCTGTATGATCGTCCATAATAAACTTGGATTTCTCAGAGGAGGAACTGGAATCCTCTTTACTTCGGTGTCTCGGAAGACTTTTTGGTAAACACCAGAAAGGCAGAGCTGCGAGAAGACTTACAATTCCTGCTATTAGGTAACCCAGCCACCAGGCTCCTACCCACTGGGGATCCTTTGGAGTAATGGTTATGTGATCTGAAAGACAGAGAGGACAGCCAAATTGCATATACAGCAAAGCCAGTGAGTTGAAATAAGCCTCTTCTTCTTCTTTTTTTTTTTTAAATCCTAGCATTAGCTCTATCACATCATAAGAATACCTAATAATTCATGCATGATAACTTTCTAGTCTGAACGTTATCATCTTCTTGCTTTTTGAAGGAAATATGCTGCTTTATTTCTGGAACATGCTGCTTTTCTTTATTTGTTCCTTAGATTTAAAATATAGAGCCTAAATCCTGGGGGAGGGGGTCTTACTCTGGGGTTTTGCAGAGGAAACCCCTGGTCCATGACACAGGAAGCAAGAACCCTATGAGGGAGAATTATGGGGGCTCCAAGCCTTCTGCTGGCTACCCCCCAACAGCAACCCTTGCTGCATCTGGTCCACATATTGAATGTCTGTCCAAGATTTTTCTCAAAGAAAGACTGGTCTCAGTCTAGTCTAAAACATTCAATGTTACTCACTAAATGACAGTAATACTCCAGAGCTACTCTAGGTCTGAAGCAAGATTTGTATATATAAATAAAATGTCAATGTCTTATTCATCAGCAAAACTTTATTTTTGACACCATTTCTTATTTGACAAAAAGGTAAGTGGTGATGAAGTTTTTTTTGAACCAAATCAAGTGTTTTTTTTTTTTTCTTTTCTATATCAGAACCCATAAAACTTACGATAGATCTACCTCCACTACACTCCGTGAGAACAATGAACTAAACACATGTCCTATGATGACGAGGCTCCGTTGCCACATTGTACTTGGTAAAATGTTCACACTGGCTCATCATCACATCTTCATTTCTTCCCCTTAACAACTTCCCTCTCTACCACTCATCACAACTATGCTTTCTTATCTGAATCAGCCTCCATGAGTGGATTTTAAAACCTCAGGAAGCCAAGCACTCAACTACTATTGTATTCACCATTTTGTGGTAGAACAGCACCTGGGATAGAATAGATGCAAAATTAATGAGGTTAATGAATAAATAAATAAATGAATAAAAAAAATTTTGGAATGTGTCTTGCAGTTTGATAAAAAAGAAAACCTGGCGCAAGAGTTTTGCATTTAACTTTAATACATGTGGACCTCAAAATGCAGTTTCAGAATTTAAAAAAAAATGAAACCTGTTTTCTTGTTTCTAACTGCTTTCTTGAACTTCTTAAAAAAGAAAGAAAAGTGATGTCCACATCTAGGAGGTACATCTCACAAGAAAGAAACACATTAATAGCATGGAAAGATGAGGTCCCCCATTTGTTCCCTCCACAAGCACTCGCCCAGAGAATAAGGTAGCCTCACTCTAATATACCTCCATCTGAAAAAGATCTGTACAGTAAAGAACATATTTTGTTTGCCAGAAGACTTTTGATTCTTGGTCTTTCTGGCAAATCTACAAAATACATTATCAACTGATGTGACTGTCATGTTGCTACACCTGAACCAACAAGAAGCCACAGTTTTTAGTCTTAACTATGCTGGAATTCATTTGAAGTGGCAAACTAGAAGTGGAAAGGGATACATCTGAATAACAAACCATGGGTCATCCAGTTCTAACCACTGCCTATTTTTCATATTCCATTTATTAATGCATGCAGTGATTATATCAATGACCAATTTTCAGTGGATTATTTTCATTTTATGAAAGATTACCATCCTGTCACTTTATAAAAAGGGAATCTGATATTTTATACACCATCCCCATTAAAAATGTTCAGTGACTAAAATAAATAAATAAATAAAAATAAACTTCCTTACCTAGGTTTACAAAGCCAATGTCAACATACAGTTTGGCACATAGTGAGCCTAGCAGGAAGCCAAAGATCGGTCCTATAATTGCAACCGTCTGTACACACCCTGCATCAAAAAAAAAAAAAAAAAAGAAAGAAAGAAAGAAAGAAAGAAAGAAAGAAAGAAAGAAAGAAAATGAAAAAGAAGTGGCATTTCTCCACTTTTGTAAATTAGTAATTTTTTAAACAAGAAATAGGAGTGAGGTCCAGTTAGTAGCTGAAAATATCTCATCAACTCTTCACTTAACTGTGCTTAATTTGTCCATTTTTCAACCTTACTGAGTCATGAAATAAGTCCTGCTCAGCTTTGGAAGAAGAATGAACATGTGGAAGGCGTTAATTGCCTCTTAGTAAGGAAATAACACCAAGATTCTGAAGAAGTTAATTTCCCCCAAGTGGAGAAAACTTTACTCCCTAGAATTAGATTTCCCCTACTGGTTAAAAAAAAAAAAATCAGAATTATACTATTTTGACAGTCTTTCAAAAACTTTTTATGGTTGGTTAAGTGTTGAGTCCTTTTAACATGAAAATTGATTTTTTCCACCTCAGTGCCAAAGTGCATGCATTCAGAGAGTCTGTGCGACCATCTGTGGGAGCGGTAGCCATGCAGATCCCTGAACACAACCAGTCAGGCCTGGGAATGCAGAGAGGTGCTCTTTGGAACAATCATGACCAGCCTGGGCCGCATTAATATGAGACGGGAGCAGATTACTTAAAAAACACCGTTTCTGGTTACCAGAAAGGTAGCTCTTCCCTGCAAAGTATGTCCCATCTGCCTTTCATGTCACCACAGAACTTCTCGCACACGTATCCCTGGCAGATTAACTTAAGAAAAAGAGTAAATGGCAATTAACAGATCCTTTCCAGAAGACAAGAGAAGAATGAAGAGAGAGAGCAAGGAAGGGACACCCGGACACCTGCATGCATCTCTTGGCTTGCAATTTTTCTTCCAGTCCCCAGAGTAACTGTCTAGCACATGTGATGGAGCTTCTGTGCCAGGTCCTGACTTACACTGCAGTGTTCCATTAGAGCAGGTAACCTGTTTTTAATTACAGCTTGCCTGACTGTAAGGAGAGCCCTCTGGAGTTCTGCACACATGGCCAGGGCAGAACTATAGTGTAGGGCTGGTCGCAGCCCCTCTCAGTGAATTTAAATCTTGTCCTCTATGCCTTGAAGGCCAGGCTCTCAAAAGATTAGAACCCCAAGAAATCAAGGCTGATATGTGAAATGGAGAAAAATTTAGTTTCCAAGACATAAGAGGCACTCAATAAGTGCTGCTTAGATGCACCTGGCCTTGGAATTAGAGTTTGCTGTATTGTGCGTGTGTGCATGTGTGTCTGTGCGTGTGTGTGTGTGATTTTAGCTGCTGGTCTATCTACTGGCACCTGTTCCAGGCATGGGTTCACCTCAGGTCTTGCTCTCATCCTTCCTGTGTTTTTATCCATTCATGCCTGCTATTGAGATCTCAAAATTCCTTGCCCATCCCTCATAGGATAAAAATGCTATAAATAGGGTTTAAAGATGGGAAGCAGTTCCTAGAGCTCTGGAAACAAAATAAAAAATGAATATAAATGATACCTAGGTGGTTCAGTAGTACAGTTAACCCAGTAAAAAAGAACCTATGAAATCTGAAGTTCATGAAAATATTTGCATGAAGTCATACACCATGGCAGTCCATCTTCCAGTTATTTCTTTTTAATCTGATGTTCTTTCCCTAACGCAATTGGTCCTTCTAATTTGCGTTTCTTCATCATCCAAATCCTCAGTGTGGACCTCTGAAACATGTGAACTCAGTAAAGGAACAGGATCTGAAGGATAAAACCTTCCATGCCCTATTTAGTTTGGAGTGGAGTCAAGAAAACTGGGTACTCTGCGTCCTCAGAAGATGAATGAGGTAGGTATTACCAATATAGAAAGCAGAATTATCTTCACTGGCAAAATCATCAAGGTAGGCGATGCCTAGAGGCTGAATCGGAGTTTCCCCCATTCCACGAAGAAGGTTCCCCAGGAAAACATAAACCCACATGGAAGAGCTGGCATCCATTTCACATTCTCGAAAGGAAAGCAAACAAGAGGAATGAAATTAGATCAGTATCAAAGTTAAATATTTATTCTGCATTTCTACAAGCTGTAGTGAAATTGGATTAGGATGTAAAAGTGAAATTTTCAACAGACATAATTTGATAGGAGTCAAACCAAGATCGGAAAATATTTAAGCTTCAATGTTTTAGGTAGGATAAATCCCTCAGAGATTTTGATCGAGGAACTCCTTTGATTTTTCTTTCTGACGCCTTGTTTCTAATTTTCTCTTTTCTTTCTTATTTTTATTTACACTGAGTTCTTTGAATTCCTATGCTACTATAACATTCAATATCCTGTCTGGGACAAAACACACAATTTTGAATGAAAAGTTTTCTCTTCTTAATCTTTAAACTTTTCTATTTTTCAACAGAAATCACTTGCAATGTTATTGCTGACCAACTTGCACCTGCAATTCAAAATTTTATATGGGTAATACTTCAACTTTGGGCAGCATCACAACTGCTTGACAACAAATAATGATTTTTAGAGCTCAGGTTTAGGAAATAAAATTCACATAAAATTTTAAAACCTTATATGCTTTAGTAACTATTCCAACATAAAGAACCTTTCATCATAAAGAACAGTATTCTTAGAATGAAATTCAAAGCTAACAACTTTTAAATGCTTTTATAGAAGTCGTGTCTTGATATAATCATGTGAAGCTGGAGAATTAACTCCCACATCACAAGTGAAATACACTTTGAAGAGTTTAATCACTTTAATAAAAGAGATAATACTTTCTATCTCTGACAATCACCTCTTCTGAGTGCTCTTTTCCTGTCAGACATTGGGCTAAGTGATTGGCAGGCATTTTTAAAGTTAAATTCTCCTATAATCCTATGAGGTGAGAGTTATTTCCACTCTCCAGTAGCCCTTAAAGTAAATTTTGAAACTAAAATATGGTTATTTAGAACTGAGGTGAATCCTTTTGTGCAGATGAGTCAGATTGTGTGACAGATAAAACTACTGTGTAGTTTTGTTACTTCTAACTCTGCGTCTTCTGAAAATGTAGCCAAGTGATGAAGCATTTCTTTTTTAATCTTCTGTGGATTTCCAGTCTACCAACCCCCCTCAAATATAATGTGAATTCTTTTTCCGGAAACACTGATTCTAATTCAATTCTACCCCTAACATTTGTGTGATCCCAAGAAGCTTGGTTGTAGGGAAGTCTTATAGATAGTGGGAGACATCTTAGATCTATGCTTTCCAGTACACACACCATATGTGGCTACTGAAGTGTAAATTAATTAAAGTTACAGAAAGTTAAAAATTCAGTTCTTCAGTCACACTAGCTGTATTACAGTACTCAATAATCACATGTGGTTAATGGCTGCTGTATCGAACAGCATAGATACAGAACATTTTCACCGTTGCAGAGAGTTCTGTCAGACAGCTCTGCTTTCCAGTATTGTGGGGGGGATGGGAGTTGTAGGTGGAGCATTTTTGAGAAGAGCCCTATATTTACCCCACTGTCATTTTTAGGATGAACTTTGTGTCCATTATGTCTGATGTCCACATAGGTCTATGGCTTTAAGGGAGCAAGACCTCGTTTAAAGGAAAGAAAGAGATTGAGTTGTGAATCTTATATTATATACCTGTCTAATAACTTGTCTCTCTTCCCATTAAAAACATTTTAATTCTCGCCTTTAATCCTGTTTCTCTTAACATTAAAGGTTTAAATATTTCCTAATTAGTTGTATGGCCATTTGTGTCACATCTTCCATGATTATCAAAAACAAAAACAAAATATCTTCAGTGACTGTACACATGTAGAGATGAAAGTGCAAGCCCTCCTCTTATACTCTCTTCTTCCAGCGTGCTTTTCTGCTTCTTTTCATACAGCAGGATGGGGTAAACTTTTTTCATGATTACATCTTCCATACCTCGTCTCCTCAAATTTCTAGATTTTCTTTAATCCTCTGGCCCTTCCCTTTATTCAAATAACAAGACCTCAAATGTTCAGTGCTCAGGAAAAAGACATCTAAAAAGAAAGCACTGGTGAGGATATCAGGGGAAACAAAAGGTTTTATGGTATAGATAAAAGATTTGCATGACTAGCAGGTAGATAAAAGAGAAGCTTCCACACTGCCTATATAGAAATCAATCCGGAGGCTAGGCGCAGGGAGGGAGATGGGATTGATGAAGAGGAAGCATAGAGCATGTCAATGCTGAAGGGCAGTAGAGAGAGGACATTTGAGCTCCTGCCTCATTAGCATCCTAGAGACAGGGCAGACACCTGTGGGTAGATGGTGTGGACTCCATGAGCAGGGAGAACCTGTGCTACCATGGGCATATAGAGCCCAGGAAGGTATCAAGACCCCAAAGATGAGACAGCTGTACATTGTGGCTAAACACTCCTGCTTTGGACTCTTCAAAGGGTTTCTGGATGATTCCCGTGTTCCCATGGGTGGCTCACAGAATGCATAGCTATAGAATATGTGTCAGCCATATGGAACTCTAGACATTCTAACAAAATTCCCTGCAACCTGTCTTGTGTGGAAAATAGAACTATTTCTGAGTTTCTAAGACTGTCACCTCTGCATCAGAGCGAGTTGCTGTTCTAAAAAGGACATAAAGGTAGACACAGGGTGGCACTAATGTGAGATGTATGACCACATACTGTGGCCAGAGGGATTTTAAATATCTAAGTTGACAAGGGACTGATAACACCAAGAGGCCCCTCCCACGACCACTCCCTTTGCTATTATGTAAGCACCCCAGAATGTAAGACACCCCTGGGAAAAAGGGTGAAGTTTAGGGACAAATTGAGATTAAATTTTTGTCATTCTGATGAAAAGGGGCTGCACACAGATTTTCAATTGAGATCTGGTGGAAAAATATATTTCTTTTGTAGTGGAGCGATGGACTGAGATCTGTTATGTGCCAAGTTAGTTTTATCCTGATTTGATGGCCCACCTTATTAGGAACTAATCGTTCCTAATGAGCTTTTCTCAGTCACTGGTAATTAATGGCCCTTTCTATAAGATTTGAATCTCCACATATTCTCTTAGGATCTCATCATATACTACCTTATATTCTAGGAATTTTTATGGCACTATAATTTCACGATTTAAATCGTAAAGCTTCTAACAGAGAAAAAAATCACAGAAATTTGTGTCCATCCTAAAACACACATAAAGTCTTTTTTTTTTTTTTAGCTTTCTTAGTCAAGTAAAAAAAAAAAATCATCTTACCAACATTTCTTTTGGATTGTGGTTTTTCTATAACCGAGAGAGGTAACTGACTGTCTGACTCCAAGAGACATGGAGAGAGGCTGAGAGTAGAATTAGAGAAAGGAGAATACTTTTCATATCTGTACCTGTACAAAAAGAATGTTTTCTTTACTACAGATTCACTTAACATCATGTTAAAAATATTATATGGACACTGTATGACTTATTAGGGCACCTGTTCGAGTTTGCAGCTACCCCTGAATCTGAATCATTAAAACTGAAACAGCATTTAACAGCAACGACCTGAAGAAATAGCCAGAAACTCTGCCGGGAAGTCTGGTTCACTGGTATTTCCACTAGATCCAAACCAATTACCTGGTGTGGTAAAAGAAAATAAAAGAAGAATCATTTACAAGGGTTCCTTTTAATGTAAAAATAATGATCCTAAATCACCCGTTCTCCTGATGAAAAAAATATCCAACACTTGATAAAATCATAATTATCTCTAAGTCAGCATAAAAGAAATAATTTAAGAACTATGGTCTTGCACAGTGGTTTTAGAGCTGTAAATTTAGTAGAACAACTGCATTGCTGATACTAGAGAATTGATGATGATATGTGGGGTTTGGGGATTTAAGTTTTTATTTAAATCCCAGTTAGTTAATATGCAGTGTTATATTAGTTTCAAGTGTACAATATAGTGATTCCACACTTACTGAAACATCAGGTGATTATCACAAGTGCCCTCCTTAATCCCATCACCTATTTAACCCATCCCCCCACCAAACTCCCCTCTGGTCACCATCAGTTTGTTCTCTAGAGTTAAGAGTCTGTTTTCTGGTTTGTCTCCCTCTCTCCCTCCCTTCCTCTCCCCTTTGGTCATTTGTTTTTCTTCTTAAATTCCATGTGAGTGAAATCATATGGTATTTGTCTTTCTCTGACTGATTTATTTCACTTAGCATAATATCCTCTAGGTCCCATTCATGTCATTGCAAATGGCAAAATTTCAATCTTTTTGATGGTGGGGTAATTTTCCACTGTGTGTGTGTGTGTGTGTGTGTGTGTGTGTGTGTGTGTGTGTGTATATATATATATATATATATATATATATAGCACATCTTCCTTATCCAGTCATCAGTCAATAAACACTTGAGCTATTTCCTTAATTTGGCTATTGGAGATAATGCTGCTATAAACAGAGGTGCATGTATCCCTTTGAATCAGTATTTTTATATCCTTTGGATAAATACCTAGTAGTGCAATTACTAGATCATAGGCTGTTCTATTTTTAACTTTTTGAGAAATCTCCAAACTGTTTTTCACGGAGTGGCAGCACCAGATTGCATTCCCATTAACAGTGCAAGAGGGTTCCCCTTTTCTCCACATTCTCACCAATACTTCTTGTTTCCTGTGTTGTTGATTTTAGCCATTCTCACAGGTGTGAGATGGTATCTCATTGTAGTTTTGATTTATATTTCCCCAAAGTTTAGTGATGTTGAGCATCTTTTCATGTGTCTGTTGGCCATCTGTATGTCTTCTTTGGAAAAATGTTACTTATGTCTTCTGCCCATTTTTTAAATTGCATTTTTCATTTTTTGAGTGTTGAGTTTTATAAGTTCTTTATATACATTGGATAGTAATGTTTATCAGATGTCATTTGCAAAAATCTTCTCCCATTCCATAGGCTGCCTTTTAGTTTTGTTGATTGTTCCCTTCACTGTGAAGAAGCTTTCTATTTTGCTGAAGTCCCAGTAGTTTATTTTTGCATTTGTTTCCCTGGCTCCAGGATACATATCTAGAAAGGAGATGGCAGATATCAAAGAGGTTACTGCCTGTGTTCTCCTCTAGGATTTTTCTGGTTTTAGATCTCACATTTAGGTCTTTCATCCACTTTGAGTTTATTTTTGTGTGTGGTGTAAGTTGTCCAGTTTCTTTCTTTTGCATGTTGCTGTCCAGTTTTCTCAACACCATTTATTGAAGACATTGTCTTTTTCCCATTGGATATTCCTTTCTGCTTTGTCAAACATTAGTTGGCCATATAGTTGTGGGTTCATTTCTGGGTTTTCAATTCCATTTCATTGATCTATGTGTCTATTTTTGTGCTGGTAACAATACTATCTTGATCACTATAGTTTCGTTATGTATATATGTATACACATATGTATATGTATTCATTATGTATATATGTGTGTGTATATATATGTACATATGTATATATACATATTCATTATGTATATATGTATACATACATGTATACATATATACACACATATATATATGAATGACTGAATGAATGACTGACTCTTTGGGGTCATTTGTGGTCCCTTCAAATTTTAGGATTGTTTATTCTTGCTCTGTGAAAATTGCTGGTGGTATTTTGATAGGGACTACATTAAATGTGTAGATTGCTTTGGGTAGTATAGATATTTTTAACAATTTGTTCTTCTAATCTAAGAGTGTCTTTCCATTTATTTGTGTCATCTTTAATTTCTTTCATCAGTGTTTTATAGTTTTTAGAGTATAGGTCTTTCACCAATTTGGTTAGGTTTATTCCTACATATCTTACTATTTTTGGTGCAACTGTACATGGGATTGGTTCCTTAAACTCTCTTACTGCTATTTTATTATTAACGAACAGAAATGCAACAGATTTCTGTACATTTTGTATCCTGCCACTTTTTGTTTATTCATTTATTGGTTCTAGTAGTTTTTTTTTTGTTTGTTTGTTTTTTTGTTTTTTTGTGGAGTCGTTCAGCTTTTCCATTTGGAGTGTCATGTCATCTGCAAATAGCAGAAGTTTGACTTCCTCCTTGATGAGTTGCATGCTTTTTATTTTTATTGTTGTTGTTGTTGTCTGATTGATGTGGCTAGGAGTCCTAGTACCATAGTGAATAAAAGTGGTGGGAAAGGATATCCCTGTCTTGTTCATGACCATAGAGGAAAAGCCCTCAGTTTTTCTCCACTGAGGATATTAGCTGTGGATTTTTCACAGATGGCCTTTATTACGTTGAGGTATGTCCCCTCAAAACCTACTTTGTTGAGGATTTTTATCATGAATGGATGTTACACTTTGACAAATGCTTTTTTTTGCATCTGCTTGGTTTTCATCCCTTCTTTTATTAATGTAGTGTATCACACTGATTTCTGAATATTGAATCACCTTTGAAACCCAGGAATAAATCCCTCCTGATTGTGGTGAATAAATTTTTTAATGTATTGTTGGATTCTGTTTGCTAGTATTCTATTGAGAATTTTTGCATCCATGTTCATTAGGGTTATTGGCCAGTAGTTCTCTGTTTTAGTGAAGTCTTGATCTGGTTTGATATCAGGGAAATGCTAGCCTAATAGAATGAATTTGGAAGTTTTCCTTCCTTTTCTGTTTTTTGGAACATTTTGAGAAGAACAGGTATTAACTCTTCTTTAAATGTTCCTTAGAATTCCCCTGTGAAGCCATTTGGCCCTGGATATTTGTTTGTTTAGTGGTTTTTGATTACTGATTCAGTATCTTAGCTGATCATAGGTCTATTCAAGTTTTCCATTTCTTATTGCTTCAGTTTTGGTAATTTATATGTTTCTAGGAATTTATCTACTTCTAGATTGTTCAATTTGTGGCATACAGTTTTTCATAATATTCTCTTGTAATTGTTTATATTTCTGTGGTGTTGGTTATTTCTCCTCTTTTTTTGTGATTTTTTTAAAAAAGATTTTATTTTTTAGAGAGAGAGAGAGTACAAACACAAGTGAGAGGGAGAGGGAAAGGGAGAAGCAAACTCCTTACTGACCAGGGAGCCCAATACAGGGCTCGTTCCTAGGACCCTAAAGTCATGACCTGAGCCAAAGGCAGACACTTACCCACTTCACCAACCGAGCCACACAGGTGGCCCTCTTCTTTGTGATTTTATTTATTTGGGTCCTTTCTCTTTTCTATTTTGAGAAGTCTGGCTAGAGGTTTATTAATATTAATTAATTTTGTCAAAGAACCAGCTCCTGATTTCATTGATCTGTTGTATTTTTTTTTCTTTTTTTAGTTTCTGTATCATTTATTTCTGCTGTTCATTATTTCCCTCATTCTTCTGGCATTAGGCTTCATTTATTGTTCTTTTTCTAGCTCCTTTAGGTATAAGGTTAGGTTGTTTGAAATTTTTCTTGCTTCTTGAGGTAGGCCTTTACTGCTCCATACTTCCGTCTTAGAATAACTTTCACCACACCCCAAAAGTTTTGGACAATTTTGTTTTCATTTTCATTTCTTTTGGTGCATTTTTTCATTACTGTTTTGGTTTTTCTAGTTGACACATTCATTGTTTAGTAGTATGTCATTTAAACTCCATGTAATTTTGGTCTTTCCAGATTTTTTCTTGTGGTTGACCTCTAATTTCATAGTGTTGTGGTCAGAAAAGGTGCATGGAATGATTTCAATCTTTTTGTATTTGTTGAGGCCTAATTTGTGACATATTATGTGATCTATTCTGAAAAATGATCTATTTGCACTTGAAAAGAATGTGTATTTTTTTGTTTTAGAATCAAATGTTCTGAATGTATTTGTAAAGTGCATCTGGTTCAGTGTGTCATTCAAAGTCATTGTTTCTGTATTTATTTTCTGTTTAGATGATCTGTCCATTGATATAAGTGAAATATCAAAGTCCCCTACTATTATTGTATTATCATCAATTCCTTTATGTTTGTTATTGTTTTATGTATTTGGATGCTTCATGTTGAGCACATGAATTTTTACAATTATTAGATCTTCTTGTGGGATTGTCCCCTTTATTATGAGATAGTATCCTTTATTTGTCACTTGTTATAGTCTTCGTTTCAAAGTCTAGTTTGTCTGACATAAGTGTTGCTACTCTGGCTTTCTTTTTATATCAATTTGCATGATAAATGTTTCTCTATCCCTCACTTTTCAATCTGTGTCTATAGGTCTAAAATGAATTTATTAGAGGCAGCATATAGATGGATTTTTTAATAAATTCTGACACCCTATGTCTTTTTATTGTTTAGTACATTTACATTCAAAGTAATTATTGATAGATATCTGTTTATTGTCATTTTATCCTTGTTTTGTCATTGTTTCCAGACATTTCTTTGATCTTTTCTTGTCTTTGTTACTTTTGGTTTCCTTTGCACTAAAAGAGTCTCTAATATT